ACACGCATACACACACACACACGCGCGCGCGCGCGCGCGTATATATATATATACACATATACACACACATATACATACACAGTGAGATCCAAAAGTTCCGGGTAATTATCTCAGAAAGTATCTGCAAAAATATTTCAGACAAAGTTGTAGGGTTTAAAAAGATGTATTTATAATTAATCTTATCAGTTCGACCTTGAGCGTCGCTAATCAAGGTTGCTTTGAATTTTTTAAATGGAAACTCTTCATTTTTCATTACATATTCTCGTAGCTTACCTCAGGAACTTGTCAAAACACTGTGATATTTTATAAACTTTTTTTAATTAAAAACTTTTTGAGTTAAAGGCTTGAAAGTTACAGTACCGCCATCATTAGAGTATTAGGTATCCGACTGACGCGCGCGCGCGCGCGCACACTGGTTCAAAATGAATAATTAGACAAAACTAAAAAAATAAATGATAAAATTAAAACATTTTTAACAATTATTTATAAACTAGATACCTTAATTAAGAAATTCCTAGAACCATTACGAAATAGGTCGAATAAATCAAAAGATATCGAATTACAAAGATGTGCTTTTATAATATACTGCTTGTACAGTAATAATCAAACACACAACCTATTATGAGCTCTTATGTTAAATGAATATTGTTCTTTTCTTGTGGAATTTGGAAATAATTGTTTTTATAATGAATACTCTTCAGACAAATATATACATATTTAACATTTTTTACTTTATTTTATTTTGTTCAATTATTAAAAAATAAAACTTATTAAAAAATAGAAACTATATATACTATATATACTAATTAAAAAATAGAAACATATTGTCAATTTTTCTTTACTTGTTCTTTAAAATGTTAAGTATATGAAAACGGCGAAACTTTTGTACGCATTTGTATATCATGAAAATGGTTTTATTAAAATTAATCGTATAAATTTTATTGACAGTAATTTAATATGCATATTTTTGCAAATTTAAGAAATATACCATTTTTTGCAAGAAATTTCATGTAAGTAAGAGAGAATTAAATTTAATTAAATGTAAGAGAGTTTTAAATTTAATTAAGACTCCTGATATAATAGAATCATTTTTTGAGG